CAGATACTAGCCTGGAGTCTGGCTAGCATGTGACCACAGCGGTGGGAAGACGCCATCTGAGATGCATGGCCTGTTGTTCAGGAGAGGAGTTGCTCATCTTCAGTGGTGGGAAGACATTGTCATAATGTCAGGAATGGAGAGGAATGGACACGAATATGGGTAAAGTAAATAGACATCTTTGGCTTCCGTTAACTCTTGTTTTTCCCAGTTTATTAAAAAAAATGCCTTTGTTATTCTCTAAGCCAGATGCCTCGCAACTGTGCACATGGTTGAAGAACCAGACAGTAACCAGTAAAGTATTTGGTCAGTGGGGCCTTGGCCAGCTTCATGTCCCCTGCCACCCTGTATCAATCCAACATAGATGCAATAAAGAAAATAAATAAATATCTTAATTAGTGTCAAAATATATGAACTTCTTGATTGAATACTTCCCTTACGAAGGGCAAGTAAACAAAATCCATTAAGTCAAGGTTACTATTTTGAAAACACAATAAAAATTTCAGCAATTGTGCAGCATATACAAGTAATGGGTGTTCTCTTGTGGTTTCTCTTGGTGGCGATAGTGGGGGGTAAAGTGATACCATTTTTCACACAGTTAGATTGGTCAGCATTTGTGACGGCACATAAAGTCTGGTTTAAATTGGTTTTGTCATTATTTTAACTATTTTATGAACAGTGTGCCCACTCCCCCAATTTTCACTACTTATCTCTGTATTTCCCCTAGATTGTCATCCTCCTGCATATTTTCTGATTTTTTCCTGAATAGCTTATCTTTTTCTCAGTTCCCTAAAGTAACTTCAAATTTATCTTTGAATATGTATCATTCTTCAATTCACATTTAACTTTCTGAAAATTTTTACCACTAAGATCACCATATCTTTTGCATGATTCCAGTTAGATAGCATTATATTTGGTTTGCTTTCATATAAATCTGTACTAAACGGGTTTATTTAAGGATTTCTGTTGTTATTTAGTCTGATTCTTGTCCCTCCCCCTGCCTTTTCCCCCCTCTGTTTATGCTGTCTCTGTCCTAGAGGCTTTCCTTACTCCAGGGCCTTCTGCAAAGCTCACTGGCAGTGCCATGCTCTGGCCACAGGAAAATCAAGGCATTTCCTGGGAACCCTCAGGTTACAGCACTTCTGTGTGTTGGTACAGGTCTGTGCACACCATAGCAGCACCTCCTTTTTTTTTATTTATTATTTTTTATTTATTTATTTATTTATTTTTAAAGATTTATTTATTTGTGCATACAGAACTGGGGTACAGGCCAGAGGCTCAGGGGCGGTGAGAGGCTCCACCAGAGACAGAGTGGGGAGCAGAACAGGCAGACAGACGAAGTACACTGCAGAGGGGAGCAGCGGGCGGGCCAGGAGAGGTCTGCCGCGCCCTGTGGTCACCTCCGGGGCAGGCGGGGATCGAACTCATGCGGAAGCGGCTTTAGATTCTCAATGCTGTGCTTTAACCCGCTGTGCCACCAGGGAGGGCCGCAGCACCTCCTTTTTCCCGCTTAGAGTTATAATCTTGGTGTCTGGTTGCAGGGCAGATGGGCAGAAACTGTAGGTGGGAAGTCCTGAAATTTTCAGCACCCGAAAGACACCGCCGCCCATTCTCACTCTCTCCTGGTGCCATATCAGAGGCCCTCAGATTTAACCTTCCTAAGGATGAATGCTCCTACATCCACGTTGTTACCAGAAGGACTCCCATCTCTTTTGTGTGGCCAGGAGGATATCAATCTTTGAGGTGAATTTTTTCAATAATACAAAATATATAATTTTTTATTTGCAATAATGCTGGTTTACAACACTGTAAATGCTTTAGGGACACAGACCCCTTCTTCCTCAGATGTGTGTTTCCACACCTGACATCCACTAACCTCCCGTCCTCTTCTACCATCATCCTCTGGGCACCCACCACCCTCTGCTAAAGTCAGGCTGTTTTGACTTTAGTCTCAGGCACCAGCTGCCTTCTGATATAACATAGTGCTTATTTTTCTTCAGCTTCATTTGCTACTCTAAAACTGGGCAGCACAAATGTTTTTATTCTCATGATAATCTCCTGCCTCCCAATTCTCCAAAAGCAGGTGAGTTTCATCTTTGCTTTTATCAGGGATGGGAGTGTATCTCCCTTCCATTTCCTGGCCTCCAAAAGTTTCCTATCTCTCTTTATTCAGTTCTTTTGTAGTTTATTTGCCCCTATTGATAATTTGATCTCATATTTAACAAAATTTATATGGGCTTTAGAATGGAATGGAAATAAATACCTTGTTCATTTTGCTATGCTCCGGAAACTCTTTTAATTTTTTTTTAAGATTTATTTATTTTTGCTTACAGAACTGGGTTATAGGTCAGAAGTGTGGTGGGTGAGAGGATTCACCAGAGACAAAGTGGGAAGCAAAGCAGGCAGATGTATTCAAATACGCTGCTGAGGGGAGCAGTGGGCGGGTCAAGAGAGGTCTGCCATGCCATGTGGGTCAGCTCCCTGGCCGGGGATGGAATTTGTGGTGCAGTGGCTTTGGAGAGCTTCATAATGCGGTGCTTTAACCTTTTGTGCCACCAGTGAGAACCCAACTCTTTTACTTTTTTTAGAAAATCACTTAGGTTTCTATTGATGATATTAAAATAGTAGAAAAATGTGACCTTGAAAAACTTACTTTAAATAAATACACATTTTATTTAATAAACTTACAGAGTTTAAAAGCATAAGATACATTTTTTATTACTGCTGTAGATCATTGCCACATTCAGGACTTCCTTGCCTGGACAGCAGTTTCCTTTACTCCACGTATATTTGTGGTTTGATCTCATTCATAGTACTATTGAGTCGCCATGTGATACACCTCTCCTACACATGTCCTCAACACAGGACATGTGATGTACTTGTCCTCTTGTTGAATTTTTCACCAATTCTGACCTTAAATTAACTTATGAATTCTTTTGATGACTATGAAATTTATTCACAGGAATATTATGTATTATTTTTTGGAAGATGCTAGGATTTTCTTATCCTTCAAAATTTCAAGCATAGAGTAAAGCAGAGGCTGTTGGATATGTGTATAATGAAGTAGTGATTGAAGTGCTGATCTATGTCCTTTGTTCACGTTTCCATCTTAAGGGAAATTCTTAAGGACATAGATCACAGTTCTATTTTGTCCATATAAGTATATTATTGGCTGAGTTTCATTGTGAGGAATTAAGGAAATATTAGTTCACAATGAAAAAGGGTAGTTGTGAGGATAATACAAATAACTGTATAAAAATGAGTTTTTTAAAAAAACTCGTTTAAAATATTTGGATGGGCCTCCCTGGTGGTGCAAGGGTTAAGATGCATCACTACAAGCTGGTTGCAGCCACTTCAGTGTGAGTTCGATCCTTGGCCCCAGAGTGTGGATCAGGTTGATCCAACTCTAGAGGGATTTGCCACTCAGACTGCATCTGATATTGCTGTAAAAGCAGAGTCCAGATTGTAGATTGGGAAGTGAGTGCTTTGAAGTAAGTACCAACGTGAGGATGGTACATAGTGTTTGGGTAGGGATATCATTCTTCAGAGCTTGTGAAGAATACTTTTTTCTAGACTGTAGGACTGTAAAACTAAAGATGCCAAAGCAAGATTAAATGTTACAATCATATCAGTTGAGTCAAACCACTAGATCACAGTGATCTAAATACAATGGTTTGTTTATGACAAATGCATCTTTAATCAAATAACTAGTGTATTCTATCAGATGTCAAAAGCAGAACCTGACTGGATTTTCACAGGTGATCTTAGGGTAATAGTAACAGTGACTATTGACTACACACATGATATATACCTAGTACAATAAATATATCTGCCACCAAATTCAGGCAGTCTGACACCAAGGTTATTACCAAGTTCAACAAGTTTGTTAGTGATGATGAAAAACTGTCCTTATTACGTGTCTTTTGTCTCCTGAAATAATCATAACAAATCTTTGATGTCCTCACTATTTCAGAAGCTGAGGGTCAGAGATGCTACATAAAGACCTATGTGCTGCAAACAATAAATGACTGAAGGAGACAAAGTTTAGATATTCAACGCTACTGTAAGCAATCAAGCAAGCAAATCATGCTTTTGCTAAGTTAGTGAAAAGGAAGATACTTGATTTTTCTATATTATAAAGGCTTAAAAAAGGATGGTTTATATTCCCATTTTCTGGTCATTGTGACATTCATTCAGAGTAAGAAATAATATATGTACAACTGAAAGTAATAAGCATGGACTAGGCAGAACTACTCTGATCAGAAAATTAGAGCAAGGAAAGGTGTTAGCTGATACTTAAAGATTACTTCTGCCAGCTGTTTGACTTATATTGCATATTCAATCTTTAATTAACCTACTAGTAAAATGCACTCCTTTTATTATCCAGAGTAAAACTGGATGAAAAAAATATTTAATAAAACTTGCACAATAGCCAAAGGGTGGTGTGGAGAAAAATTCAGTTCTCTGTTCAAATACCTCTAGGTAAATGAAAACTTTGTATTTGGTGACTGGAATTTTGGGGGTAGAGGTGTTTTCACAATTTATTATTGTTGACAAGGGATAAAATGGAGAAGCAGATTATATTAAAGAACCGGTAAGAATGAATAAAAGGTGGGGTAGGAAAGGAAGAAGTAAGGAAAATAGAGTAAGGATAAAAATGAAGAAGAATGAGAGGAAAACAAAAAAAAGTAGGAAATAAATGGAAGGAAAACAAACCCCAAAAAGGAGAAAACTATAAGAAAAGTGAGGGGCGAAAAAAGATAGGAGAGCTGAATAAAGAGACACAAAAGATGGAGGGCAAAAGACAGCCACATGAGACAGAGTCTAGAGAAGCCATGGGAAGACACTGGAGAGGAGAGTTCTCAATTTAAGCAACATGCAATGAAGCAGATGGTGAAGGTGACATCCATCCCCAGTAGGACGGCCACCTCTTCGCTGGAGCCATATCCGCAGTGACTGCCACTTTCTTTTTGTCACAAAAAACGACTTCTCTGTACAACCCTTCATTGTTGTGAGCCCTTGTCTCTGAAAAACAGTCGTCTCAGGGCTCCCTTCACATCTTTATTCCTCAGTGTGTAGATGAGGGGATTGAGGGAAGGGGTCACTACTGTATAAAACAGGGAGAAAAATTTCCCATGAGTGTGGGAAAAGCTGCTGTTGCGCTGGCCATAGATCATTAGAGCAGTCCCATAGAAGATAGACACTACCGTCAAATGGGATCCACATGTCCCCAGGACTTTGCGCCAGGCCTGGGCTGACTTGATCTTTACAACTGCCCTGACTATTAACCCATAAGATGTCACTATAAATGATAAGGGTATATAGAGCAAGACTAATGAAGCAATGAACACTTGAACCTCGTTGGCATGAATGTCCACACAAGCAAGCTTAATCATTGACGGTACCTCACAGAAGAAATTATAGATGTGCTTGTTACCACAGCGAGGCAGCAGAACGGTGACAGTACTCAGGATGAGTGCATTTCCTATTCCACACATCCACGCAACCCCTGCCAGAGCCCTGCACACCCGTGGGTTCATCACAGTGGCATAGTGCAGAGGTTTGCAAACAGCAGCATAGCGGTCAAAAGCCATTACCACCAGCAGGATACACTCAGCAGAGCCCATTGCCAGGAACACATAGAGCTGGACCACACAGCCCAGGACTGTGATGGTCTTGGCAGGTCCCCGGAGGTTCCACAGCAGCTGGGGAACAACACTGGTAGTTACACAGATATCAACTATGGAGAGGTGGCTGAGGAAAAAGTACATGGGAGTTTTGAGTTTTGGGTCAATGGAGAAGATCAGAATAATGACCACATTTCCCACCAGGGTCAGCAGGTAGCACACCAACACCACCACAAAGAGGATCTTTTCCAGGTGGGGCTGGTCAGAGAAGCCCACCAGGATGAAGTCCCCCTTGACACTGCTATTCGTGATGCCCATTGCCCTGATCAGAGACAGAAAGTATTAGAGGAACTTAGAAAGTGAGTGCTATTTGGCCACTGGTCACAATGCCAACCATTGCAAAGACTCTTATAAATACTCACTGAGCGAGAAATCACAGCCACCACTGGGGCACACGGGGGAGAATCTGGAGAGGAAACTGCAGAAGGAATGGAAGGCTGGAGAGTGAGGAGGAGACCTGGAG